TCCAGAGGCCGAGGGGGAGCAGAGTCTATTTCTTTTACTGCACAGCAATGTGAAGTGTGAATGCCTCTTTTAAGTTGGCAGAAACACAGCACTCTGTCTTCCCATACCATGTTTTTTTCAAGCAGTGGGACAAGACAGGAGCATAAATAAGGCCTCTTCTTCCTTAGGGGCCTCCTTCCTGGGCAGGAGAAGGCGGAGCTGACCTTCCTCCTCCATCAGCCCCAGAGTGGTCTTCGAAAGGCCTTGACGATTCTGGCCGCCGCCAGCTCCTGTGCACGCTCCCACTCGTGTGCAGAGAGGCGCTGCTCAGACAGAGGCTGCTGTCACTGAAAGTGGCCCGGCTGCACCGTCGTGCTGACCGCTTCTCCGCAGGCTGCACTCCATGCTGACCTTCCCTGCCGGCCAAAGGCCAAGGGTGCTGAGGGGAGCCGTGCCCTGCATGTGTGGACGTCCGTACAGCAGCCAGCCGTGCTGCCCCTAGGAGCAGGACAGAGCCAGGCCTTTGACTCCAGAGTCTCCTCTCCCAAAGCCTGCGTTTCCGGAGAGGAAAGGCCCACTCTGATGTAATAAAGCGAGGTCCACCGGAGAGAAAACGGGCTGGCACCCCTCTCTCCCTGCTGTGGGGTGCATTCCCCCACCCCACCCTCCAGCACTGGGCTCCTGTCTCGCCAGCTTTGAATGGGGGTCAGACGGCGGCAGCCAGGGCACGCTGAAAACTGTGCCCGCTCCCCTCCCCCAGGAGCCTGCAAGCATCCCCACACACGGCACAGCCCAAGTGCCGGAGAAGGAAAGTGTGGCATGGGCATGGCAGGAGAGCTGAGGGACACTCAGCCTGTTCGAACAGGCTGTACTGATTTGCAGTATTTTGACTTTGATTCTCTTTCTTCATAGACCAATGAGATAAAGAGTTGAGCTTTGTCAGTGCAGGGAAGAAATCCACAGCCACCTTTGGAGGGACACATTTACACACAGGCTCACATCCAAGTGAACATTAGTATGTGCAGGCGCCGTGCGGGCCGTGTTTCTCAGACTCCTTCATTCCTACGGTCATGCGCTCAAAGAAGTATTTGTTTGCCTTAAAGTTGGCTGGATGTCAGACCTTGGGGCATGTCGTCTCTCACTGGGGCCTTTCAGGCCTCACTGCCTTTCTTCCTGCATGGTGCATACCAGCTCCTGAGATGGGGTAGCGGACAGGAGCTCGTTCTCTCTTGATGCTTCTAGTCCAGCCAAGAAGACAGAGGAAACAAACATAAATTTAGGAACAGTTGTGGTGACCCTTGGAAGTACTGTGCATTCTTTGTCATATAACCATCGTTACGGCTAACACTCAGGTACTGCTATTGTGCCCATTTGCCCATGGACCTTAAGAGGTTTAAAAACTGCCCTGGCTCCCTGGCCAGGGGGTGGCTGTGTGTTTCTGTGCATAGTCAGAGTAGGAAGGCGTTTCTGGACCTGGAATGTGAGCCGTGACAGTACAGTTCCATCTAGCGGCCTGGGAACTGCTAGCTTACGTGTCTCTCCAGAGCTGTGACTCATCAGGTGAAAACATATTTGCAGCAGAGAGCTATTTGTAAACCACACCACCTTCCACTTTAGATTGTAGAAGCCCAGGTTGTGGGCTAGTGACCTAGCAGGGACGATGAGTGACAGTGTAATCATGGGATTTTGTTCCTGATGTTTAGAATTCTGCCCATCGGTATTACGGCCCTGACTCACTCCAGGTCAGGGGATGGTTGCTTTGCCCAGGCTGTGGGCAGCATGAGGGTTCGTTTGCCTTTATTCTACAAAACGTACGGCGCACCAGCAGCATCTTGGACACTGCTAGTTATGTGAGAATGCAGAGAACACAGGACAGAACTCTCTATGTCTCTCTCTCTCTCTCTCTCTCACACACACACACACACACACACACATCCATTCAGCTACAAATGTAGGCACCAACTTAAGCAAATAGGTCAGGGTGGGTACTTTAAGAAAAGTTCAAGCACAAGAGCGACTGGCCGGTCAGGGGCAAATAACTTTGCCATGTCGAAAGAACGGTCAGTGCAGGAGGCGTTACTGGGAAGGCGGCTTCTCTGCGCAGTCTCCAGCAGACAGAAGTCAGCCGTGCGGAGGGGAGGGCGTCCACGGGAGGAGGACTCGGCCGTCTCTGTGTTGGAGGAGGAGGAGCAGGGGCACAGTGGCACAGCCCGGGCTGGGGCAGACGAGAGGAGCCTTAGTTGGCGATGATGGCGGAGAGGGGAGGGAGCCAAGTCACGTAGGTGCTCGTGAAGACACTAGGTTTTGCCAATAATGAAATCAACCTCAGAACTGCCCCCTTTAGAGGCAAGAACACACGCATTGCTCATGTTTGGGCAGCATGTGCCCTTCTGTTCATGTCTCTGCCTGCAAGAAGCCCCTAGAGGAGAGTGGGAGTTAATGAATCAGAAGAGACGCCGCCCCTCCCAGAGAGAGCACGCTTCCCGCAAAGGAGTAGCTTACCTGTAGGCAAAGCTGATGGTAGACTTGGCACAAGCGAGGAGCCCTCCTGCCCTGGCCAGTTTTTCAGGGCAGTGCTCATAAAGTACGGGGTCAGCAAAGCGGCATGTTTGGAAATGTATAGCATTGGCCAGGTTGTAGAAGCTGACCCTAATTCCACTCGAGAGCTTCGATAAAAAGGATGTGAGGATCACGGTGCCCACGTAGATAGCTTCTCTTCCTGGATTTCCCTTCCTTCCTTGCTAGAGTTCATCTGCTGTGAGCCTCATACATCATCTCCGGTGAGATCCCCTCCCTCTCTGCCTGTCGCTGGGGAGGCTCTGGAAGTGATTAGGTGGCTGTAAATCAGCTTTTATGATCCCCGTGTCAGAGATAAGCGGCAAGGAGAGCAGAAGTGGGAGGACCTAGCACCTCTTGCCCTGGCAATTATCCTAGTCATGAAATAATTTCAAAAATTACCCTTGAATACAATACTTGGCAGACTACAGTTGGTTGTTGGTGTGGGTTCCACGTCTGCAGACTGAGCCAGCCCAGGACGGAGAGCTTGGTTAGGCCTGTGACGGCCGAGTCTGCGTGGAGCACACGGCCTTTCCTGTCACGATTCCCTATGCTACAGGTGACAGCTACTGTGTAGCATTTACATCACATTAGACATACGTAACCCAACCGTGATTTAAAGCACAGGGGAATGTGTACATAGGTTACATGGAAATGCTGTGTCCCATATATAAGGGACCTGAGCCCCTAGGGGTTTGGGTTTTTAAGGAGTCTTGGAACTTGTCCCGTGTGGATAACTGTAGTTTCCCTATAGGCAAAGTCAGTTAAAATTTGACTCTTTAACTAATATTGCTTTATTTTTATTTTTTATTGAGATGTAACTTAATAGAAATGAAGCAAATAAGTATTAAAACCACCTCTGAGTTTCCCCCGTGTCCTTTTGTAACTTCCATCCAGCTCTAGCCACAGAACTACTCCAGTGTTCTGGAAACTTCTCTTGTGCCTGTTCCCTGACTTCTGTTGTCACCAATAGCCTTAGCTTGTTCTTGGACGTCATATAAATGGGCACATACAGAACATATTCTTCAAGTGACCCTCTACATTCTCTGTGAGATTCATCTATGTTGCTAGGTGTAATTATTCATTCTTTATTCATTGTTGTGTAGTATTCCATTATGTTCAGGGTTTCTCGTCTCCGGCACTGTTCACAAGTTGGCTGGATAATTCTTAGGGGTGAAGGTTCTGTGCATCTCGGGCTGTTCAGAAGCCTCTGCCTACAGGACTCATCACAGCCTTCCCGGTCAGGAAGACCAAAAGTCTCCAAATATTTCCACATTTTATCCAGAGTCAGAAGCCATCATATCATATGAATCTGCTACAATTTGCTAAACAATCACTTCAAACTAGTTAAACATTGCAAAAGTAGAGCAAACATCACCTGTAAGGTCATCTTTTCCTAGGTGCACCTGGTGTTACTGTTTTGCTCCCCTAATCTTTTGTACTCACATACACCAGGCACGCACACACACACACACACACACCCCTCACTTCTGAACCACTGGAGAGACCAGAAATGGCAAGAGCACTGATCCTGTCGGTGGAGGTGTGCTGACGCCCCCCATCCGGCCCATCTTTCACATCTCCTTTGCCTTCACATCACAGAGTACAAGTTACTGAGGCCAGCGTTCTCCACAGCCGGACACGGTTTTCACCTTGGGGCTGCCAGAAGCTCATCTGATAGCGCTGCGGAAACGCAGGCCCACCTGTGGGGCGCCTGCTCTTAGACACCAATGAGGATCGCTGCTGTATTTTGAGAAGTGCCTCCCGGGGGTGGAGGGTTGTCCCAGGGGTCCACTCACAGCTGCTGGCTGTTTTATAACCCTGGAGCAGTCCTTCACTGAACAGGCTGCGAGAGTAAATACCCTTTATCCCCATGTAGGGAGTCACCTGGCGCCTAAGACCCTTGAGAGGGGGCTACCTGTCACCTAGGGACAACAGGAGGAGCAGGAAGTTGCTGCTGGCGAACACAAATGTGAGCCGGGTCTTACAGCTGGATTCCAGCCCGGCCGTTGCCAGGAGGCGCTGGCCGCAGTCTCTATAGATTAATGTTTCTTCATGCAGGACGTTGGTCCTACAGAGCTTGTGGTGCGGCGTTAGAACGAGCCAGGTGACTGAAGGACGCTGTGGAGGGAAATTCTGAACAGAGGAAACCGTGTGAAAGGCGTGCAGGGGGCTCTGAGTCACTGCGGAGGCCCGAGCAGGGCGAGGAGCTACTAGGCCGCGCGCCTGTGTCTGCACCCCGGCCCTGCGGCGGGCTGGAGAGCGCGCCCACCGCACGCGTCCTGGGGCGGGCGTCTGTGCTGGCCCTGGCCAGGGGGGTGTGACAGTGCGGGCCTGCCACCCCACCGCGCGCACGCACGCACATGCACGCACGCACACGGACGCACGCACGCACACACGCACACACTCGCCCGCCCACCGCTGTGCCCCCTACTGACCCCGCGGCCCTCTCCTCTCTCCCGCAGGCTTCTCGGCGGAAGGCGGCGCCAAGCGCCAGGAGCACCTGTCGCGCTTCTCCATGCCCGACCTCAGCAAGGACTCCGGGATGAACGTGTCCGAGAAGCTGAGCAACATGGGCACGCTCAACTCGTCCACGCAGTTCCGCAGCGCCGAGTCGGTGCGCAGCCTGCTGTCGGCGCAGCAGTACCAGGAGCTGGAGGGCGGCCTGCACCCGCTGGGCGCGCCCGGGGGCTTCCGGGACCTGCCGGCGCGC